ATCATATTATATAATAAAATAATAATATTAGAGTTATTAATATAATTATGATATTATTTGTTACAATATTACTATTATATTATATTATATTACGAGTTTGAATTTTATATTGAGAATATTGTAAATTTTAAATTTTATTAGAGGTATTATGGGTATTATAAAAGTTTCATTAATTATACTATGCTGAAACCTGTACAATCTAAAAGCTAAAGTTGTCTTTAGACTGTTTCTGATTTTGGCTGTAGATTCTTGAAAAATTCTTCAAAAAGCACTTTTAAGGAGATTTACCAAACACTAAAATCAGCTTCTACTACAAGCAGAAACTAATTTTGAGAGAAAAAAATAATACCAAACTAAACCAAAATCTTATCATGAGTTATGGCGTATATATTATATATTTTATTAAATAAACACATGTAATATTTATTTTCAAACAAAATTAATGTTTTGTGGCTTTATTATTAAGTTTGATTTGCATATTATTTATTTTGTAAAATGTAATTTGATTTTGATTTAAATTTACAATCAATGTTTATTTAAAATTGCTATGATTTTAAAATATATAATTATCTTACATAGAGAATATGACGAGTATGAAAAAGATCTCTTTAATAAAAAATTTTTTACTCCTATCTCATCTCATCTAAAGTGAGATCATTTTGAAGACGGGATAAAGATGGGAATGTGGATCATTTTGAAAGGTGGAGCTGCCTTAGGCATGGGGGAGCAGCTCCCCTTTGCCCCAAAGGCTCCTCTTATTATTTAGGCCCAATTTTAAAAGATTTGGTTTTTATTTATTTATTTTTTTTGTCCCCTCAAATATTTTAAATGTCATCTTTACAAAACTTTTTGTCAAAAAATTTCAATTTTGCCTTAAATTTTGAATTTTAAATATATTCTTGTTAATTTGTTTAGTAAATATTCTTGTTAAAATTTTAAATGTAAAGTAAACTAAAAATTAACTATAATACCATAAAAATACACAAAATTTTCATATCTAAACTTTAAATATTTAGTCATCGTTCATTTTATCAATTTAAATTTTTAATTTTAATTTTACTACAGTTAAAATTTTTTATAAAATATTATATTTAATTTCTTTTACTATAATAAGCTACAATGAAAATTTTTTATAAAATATCACATTTAATTTGTTTACTGTAATAAAATTTTTTTACACAAAATCAATCTAATATCGAATCTATAAAAATGTTGAGTTCTTGTCCTGTTCATTTCGCTAATTCGAGTTTAGAATTCGAGTTTTGCTACAGTAAAAAACTCTCACAAACAATCACATCTAACTTTTTTACTACAGTAAAAAACTCTCACATAAAATTATATCTCAACTCGAATTAAAAACTCAAATCAGCGAACTAATCGGGTCTAGTTCACGCATCTTTAAAAAAACTCAGACTCGGCCACTGGATGAGACGGAAAATCCTATGTGAGTGTCCAACGTAGCAAAGTTTGCTTTTGACTTTCTGACAGCACGTTGGAACTTGGAATTTAGGAAAGCTACAATTATATCCAGCTCCACAACAATCCATCTTCCTTACTCAAAGGCTCAAAGCCAAACCTTTGTTAATGGAGTTTTATTATGTAGTAAAATTCTCAAACACAAACACTGACTAAATGACCATATCTAATGCTATTGTGCCGGCATTTTTCTTTTTGGTGCGAAACACTTTCGTAAGATTCATCAGTTTTTATTAACTCTCTCTGTCATCCTCTTGAAGAGAGACTAATGAAGATGTCGAATTTGAAGACCCTTTTGCTGATTCTGAGTCTGCTGCTAGTTCCTGTCGTTTTTTCAGAACCAGAAGCAGTTCAGCATTTGCTTCGTCGTTTGGACTCCAATAGAGCTCCTGCTTCACTCCAAGAAGCCGCTGCTCAAGCTCTTCTCAGCAGATTGCTTCCCACCCATGTTTCCAGTTTTGTCTTCAAGATTGTCCCCATGGTACTTTTTTTTCAGAAAAACTCTACTTTTTTTTAGAAAAAATTATCAATTTTTGTGTGTTGGTTTTTCTTTTTCTTTTTTTAGGTGTTACTTGATTAGTTTTCTAGTTTGATTCATCTGGGTGTCTTCAATTCCTCCATTTATTCTTTTCTCTGTTTGATCTTCCATCAAAATCTCGGTTAAAGTTTGTTTTTTTGGGTGCTTTATCTTGAATGGGAATCATGGTTTTCTGGGTAAAGTGAGAAATGTTGGAAAATAGTTAAAGGTTTGATTTTTGGAGTTCTGAATTTTTGCTGCCAACGCTTGCTAATGGTCATGTTTTTGCTTTCTTTAACAATTCTCTATGTGTGTGTGTGTTGCTAAAAGACTGGAATCTCAACATTCTGTGTAATAGTTATGAACATTGTCCAAATTGACAATTCATTCAAACATGACCTGAAACAAGTCTCCAAGATAGCTTGCACATTTTCCTGTTTTTGCGTTCTTTCTGTCTCTCTGTTTGATTGATGAGAAAAGACGGGACCTTTAAGATTTTGTATGATAGTGACGAACATGACCCAAATTAGAATCTCAATTTCATCCTAACATGACACAAATTAGTCTCCAACATATCATTTTGTGTTCCTTTACCTGAATAAACGATAATGCATCCTCTGATGCTTACTTGTTCCTTCTTTGTCTTTTTGAGTATTGTGTTGATTCTGTTATACTTAATTTAAGCTGACTCTCAATCTGGAATATCAGGATGTTTGTCATGGGCATAGTTGCTTTATTTTAGCCAATTACAACCTATCAAGCAAGCATGGGCCTGAAATAATGTATGTGAAATTTGGCTTCGTTAGTATTTCATGAAACTTTTCTTTTTTCTTTTGGGATATACTATGAGCTATCTGCATTTTGATTTTGTGGCTTTATTTTTGTAAATGATGCATATTCTTTTAGGATTAAAGGCACAACAGGAGTTGAACTTGCATCTGGCCTCCATTGGTATTTGAAGTATTGGTGTGGTGCTCATATTTCTTGGGACAAGACTGGTGGTGCCCAGATAGCTTCGATTCCCAATCCAGGCTCCCTCCCACCTGTAAAAGATGAGGGAGTCATGATTCAGCGACCGGTTCCGTGGAACTATTACCAAAATGTTGTTACATCTAGTTGTAAGTGTAGACTTTTTCTGCCAGTTTTCACTTATACCAAACTCTATCACCATATATTGTTTTAATACATCTCTAGATCATTCAAAGTTCGTTTTTCAAAAGAACAAATATACCAGGATTGCAACATTATTATGAAGTGAGGAAAGTTCATACTCAGTGTTCACTTACAATTTTGCGAGATGTGGTACTCTCAACTCGTTTCACATTGAACAGGAGGGCTGATATCAATAAATCGTATGTGGTGTGATATATTATGCAGATTCCTTTGTTTGGTGGGATTGGGAAAGATGGGAGAAAGAGACAGACTGGATGGCTCTTCAAGGGATTAACCTGCCTTTAGCATTTACCGGGCAAGAAGCCATTTGGCAGAAAGTTTTCATGGTGAATAATTATCGATTCTTCTCTGATCTTTTAGTGACTTTTGGATATAATTTACTATCTTGCGTAGAATTATTGTTAAAAAAAATATTCTTTTAATAGGACATGGATGCCTTGTCCTGTGGTCGTAAAAATAGTCCTCTCACAGTCTCACCTTCTTGACTTTTAAAGTTTGTTACTAAATCTTACATGCATGCTTCGTATTTCTGCTTAAGCATGTATGTAATAGATATTAGATCATGAAGCATGAATAATATAGCTCAAGAAACTTAGAGCCATTTCATGTTGTCAAGTTTTTTCTTGTGTAAACACTGTGAGTTTCTGATTAAATACTACAGTAGCATCGTCGGTCTCTTGTCTAATTGTTTGGCTTCAGTGTGATTTGACCATGAATTTTGTTTGTAGGATTTTAATATCAGTAAGAAAGATCTAAACGACTTCTTCGGTGGACCTGCTTTCCTTGCATGGGCTCGCATGGGAAATTTACATGCGTATGTACTGGAAACCCGCACTTTTTGCATTCCCTTTTGACCACTTATTTCACTCATATTGTTTTACCCTTGTGGATAATGATGCATATGGGAAATGTTGACATCCTTTTTAATGTTAAATTTACTGAAGGTTTAATTCGAATTTATTTGCATTCAATGTTTGTGAGTGTGTCTCTCCATCAGGACTGGAGTTAATGTGCTTAACAATCCATGAATAGTCCTTTTTGAACAGCCTGTTCATGGGTTTATTTGCTATCCTTTGCGTGTGCTATTGGTTTTTTCAACCTGAAATGTATGTGTTACAGGTGGGGCGGGCCATTATCACAAAATTGGTTGGATCAACAATTGCGTTTGCAGAAACAAATATTATCCCGGATGCTAGAGCTAGGCATGACTCCAGGTGATGTTGAGCTCTGCAATGGCCATTTACCTCTTGTCTTTTTCGGCTTCCATATAACTGCTGCTCTGCCTATTGAAGTAGAAATCATTCTACTTTGCTTGTCTCTATAAGATTAAGAAGATTTTTTTGAAACGGTCCTTTTCATGATGTGGCTCGTCATGTGTGTTCTCTTCTTTATTCCAGTGCTGCCATCATTCTCTGGAAACGTCCCGGCAAGTTTGAAGAAGATACGTCCTTCAGCTAACATTACTAAACTTGGGGATTGGTATTTTCACATTTCTTGTTAAATAACATGATAAGCAAACATCTATATAACGCGTACATGTTTCAGATGAGCCTTGTTCAAATCTTTTTGTATTTCCCAGCCTAATTCCAAGTTACGTTTCGAAATGAAAATATTTTCCTTTATATTTGCTTTCAAGTCAAAGCCAAGAACCATTCAACTCTCTGTATGTTTTAAGAATTTTATTTCTTGTTCTCATTTAGGAATACTGTTAACGGTGATCCTCGCTGGTGTTGTACATACCTTCTTGATCCTTCGGATCCTTTATTTGTTGAGCTTGGGGCGGCATTTATTAAACAACAAATTAAAGGTGTGTTTTATGCCTATTGCCTATACTTTGTGGCTACTTGCCAATATTAGCATTGATAATCTTGCACATTTTCTTCTTATAATTATGTGTGATTATGTAAACAGCAAGAATGAGATACATCAGTACACTAAAATTGTGAAGCTATAGATGATTATGATTATATGTAATTTCATATTTATAAAAATAAAAAAAGAAAATAATACACACACGATCTCATTTCATCTTCCAGTTGAGTACTTTTTTCTAATTTACATTTTGTATGCAATTTTGCAGAATATGGAGATGTCACAGACATTTACAACTGGTAACTTTTCACATTTACTTTATCAATGTTTAACAAACTAGACTTTTTTTCCCCCTTCTCAATTACCTTTTTACAATTAGCAGAATACTTCTCTATTGTGGTAGCTATGTTCCCTGACCACAATATTTTCAGCACTCATTACTTGTTATTGAACTTTTCGGATGAACAAACTCAACACTATGGACGTGATCTTTTGCAAAGACGTGATATTTCACGTTTGTTTACTACGTAGTTAGTGGAATGTTAATTACAGCTTTGGCTCTCTCAATAGTGAGGAAATTCTGAAATGCATCCATGTCTCAACGCAGTGATACATTTAATGAAAATTCTCCACCTACAACTGACCCTGCTTATATCTCATCACTTGGAGCTGCTGTGTATAAAGCAATGTCGGAAGGCGATAAAGATGCTGTTTGGTTAATGCAAGTATGTTTCTTAATTCTTCAAACCACTTCCCCTTTTCCCTTCTAGTAATTCACCACTGCCATCCTAAATATAGGATTATGTATCAAAACTATGACCTACGTGAATATTTTACTCAATCATAAATCACTTTTTCTGATATTCATATTCCATGTTTTGGCATGTTCACGTGATGTCCAAGATATCTTTTCTTGAAGAGAAAAGATGATCATGGCAGTTTTTAGCATAAAAATGAGATGATGAAGATATATTTTAGCGTAAATCTCCATATCAGGAGCTATGATGTCAGTAAAAGTGTCAAGCGCTGGTGTCTAAATTGTTTGTGATGCATGCTTCCACATACAGTCATTTTTTTTATAATGACACCGAACATAAACGAAAATTATTTAATATGCTGGTAGGTATCCCTATCAATAATTATCTAGTAGAAGACAATATTATAGATATAAAGAACAATCCGGATAGAAAAAATTTTGATTGGATGTTGTTGATTGTTTAATGATTTTGCAGGGTTGGCTCTTCTATTCGGACTCTGCCTTTTGGAAGCCACCTCAAATGAAAGTACGTGTATAAAATATTGTGAAAGTTACCATATTTCTTTCCTAGTTACTAATGCTAAGTGCAATAACATGCATGCTTACATTTTTTTTTCCTTTGATTAATTTCAATATGCTGACCTTTGCAGGCCCTTCTACATTCTGTTCCATTTGGGAAAATGATAGTTCTTGATTTATTTGCTGACTCAAAACCAATTTGGAAAACGTCCTCTCAATTTTATGGCACTCCTTATGTATGGTAATTGGCTCCCTAATGATGATCTCTTGTTTATATTTGACTAAGATGTACAACAGTTGAAACATCCCTCTTAACTAATTAATTATGTCCCCCGTTTTTTTTTCTTTTTTTCTTTTTTTTCCCCTTTTTTTGCAATATGATATGAAACATCTTTAGAAACTTATACTTTCCGAAGACTCGGTGAACCTTTAATTTGCACCAGGTGCCTATTGCATAATTTTGGTGGAAACATTGAAATGTATGGCATATTGGATGCGGTCTCTTCTGGTCCAGTTGACGCTCGTATCAGCAACAATTCTACCATGGTATCACAATTGCCTTGTGAAAAAATTCACACAAACTTTTATTATATTCCATGCACATATGAATTATAAACCGTGAAAGAGACGTTCTTTTTTGTTTTCCTAAAGCATACTTAATAACTTGCAAATAAAATAATAGGTTGGTGTTGGCATGTGCATGGAAGGAATAGAGCACAATCCGGTTGTTTATGAATTGATGTCCGAAATGGCATTTCGCAGCCAAAAAGTTAAAGTTCAGGTAAAGCTGCTAAGCTTGCTTTTCACCTAAACAGGTCGAACAGTCAATTGAAAGTGTTAGACTTATCAAAACTTGTCAAATGATGAATGCTATATGAATAAGATTTAACTCTTATTTCTTTTAAAAGGAATGGCTCAAGCTTTATTCCCATAGACGCTATGGTAAAGCAGTTCATGAAGTTGAGGCAGCTTGGGAAATTCTTCATCAGACAATCTATAATTGTACTGACGGGATCGCTGTATGTTTTACACCTATTATTTGGAGTTTAGTATTAGTTATCATCTTATGGCTAAGCATCATAATTATAGTCATAACTTGTTTCAGGACCATAACACAGATTTTATAGTAAAATTTCCAGACTGGGATCCAGAACCAAATCATAAATCCAACACTCCGAAACGGAACCGGATGCAAATGATTTTGGATCTAGATGTGAAAAGAAGATTCCTACTCCAAGATAGTAGCTCTGAGTTGCCCCAAGCTCATTTATGGTATTCTACTCCGGAAGTGATCAATGCTTTAAAATTATTCATTGATGCCGGTACTAATTTTTCTGGAAGCCTTACATTTAGGTAAATTGCGTTACTAACATGCTTTCCTTCCCAAAAATAATAATAATCATAGTAATAAAAATAAAAACCATACTTGTACTGTGCAGTTTTGAATGTCAGATCCTTATCTAATTCTGTTAAATACGTGCTTTCTTTTTTTGTTCTGACATGATTTTGGCGTGACTGACAATTTGAAACTAAACAAGAGTCTAATTGTACCCTATGACAGAATTGTCCGTAATTGCATGTTCTTTTTTGTACAATAAATAGATGGTTTATGAGGAGAAATTAATTTCTGATTGAGCATAATATCATAATGGCAGATATGACTTGGTTGACTTGACACGCCAAGCGCTGTCAAAGCTCGCAAACCAAGTGTATACCAATGCAGTGATTGCTTTCCGAGAGAAGGATGTGGATGCTTGTAGATACCATGGTCAGAAATTTGTTCAACTCATAAAGGATATCGATATGCTTCTTGCATCTGACGATAATTTCTTGCTTGGAACCTGGCTTGAAAGTGCAAAGAAGCTGGCTGTTGATCCTCATGAAAGGCGACAAGTAAGAGCCCGTGTTATTCCTTCTTGGGATTACTTTTAGCATAAAGTAATTGTTGGAACTAGCATAACTTATTTGAGCCATGAAATTTAGACGTAACATTGTCTCAATAAATTCCTTAATGAGGTCTCAACTACACATTTTCCCTTTACAGTTTTCATATATTTATGTAAAGTCATTTAGTCTGCTTAGAAGAAAGGCTCTCTAAATTTTCTTTTCAACAACTGGTTATACCTTTTTGCTTTAGTTATTTTTGTTGTGCATAAGAAGGTGGCTTAAGTTGTCACCTATTGGGTTTGTCTTTGATCTTTTTTTTTGGCCGTGTTCTTTCTATTTTCTTCGCCTCCATCAGGAGAGTCAAATTTCTTGTGGACAACTTTCTCTGGTGATAGGAGCAACATTTAATTCCTATGAAAATAGAATATAAATTTTGAAAAAAATTTTATAGGAAAAAAAATACCATGTCAATGCTGCAGAGTTCTACACTGCCAGCTTTTCATCAAGTTTTATTACATTTGTTTTTTTTTTTTTTTGGTTCCTATATAACTGAAATGAGGTTTGACAGTCTAAAATCTATACATATTGTTGTGTAGTTTTTTGTCCCCTACCATAGAATTTCCGTAAAAGTGATTGACTGATGGATTCTATGTTCTCCTTCAGTACGAGTGGAATGCGAGAACACAGGTGACAATGTGGTATGATAACACAAAAACTAATCAAAGCAAGCTTCATGACTATGGTAATGTTAAATATGCTTATGTGGTGGCTATATAACTCAATTTTCATGGTTTTTATCTTATCTTACTTTACGTTTGTCCTTGTCATCAGCAAATAAGTTCTGGAGCGGGCTGCTCGAAAGCTACTATCTACCGCGAGCTTCGTCCTATTTCAATTACCTGTTGAAAAGCTTGACAGAAAATAAGAAGTTCAAATTAGAGGATTGGAGAAGAGAGTGGATATTATTTTCAAATAATTGGCAAGAAGGTACAGGGATTTATCCAGTGAAGGCCAAAGGAGATGCGCTTGCCATCTCTGAATTGTTGTATCAAAAATATTTCAGTTGAAAAGTTGGTTTCTTTAGCTTCTCATACTGCTACTTTTGAACCCTTCAAACTTTTGGGGTGTTTATATCCAATTAAATAAATTTGTCTTTTCACATAAATAGAAAGGAACCGCTTCAATATTTGGACAAATACAGACTTACCAAATTTACAAATCATCCAGGACTTGGTTTCATTCCAATTCCTTTAATTTAAACCAACTTTATAATGAAAACTCTTGTTATATAGTATTACTACAGCCAATGAGATTGAATGTAAATAGACAATGGCAAAAATTGGTGGTTCACAGAAGTGCATCACATCTGATATATCCTTTAGTCAACTACAGTGTCTGGAGAGAATTTACATCAATGACTAATCATACAGGTGGGGGTAAAAAAAAATAGATTACAGGTAATATGAATGGTAAGTCTTTTTCCTCAAAGCTGCAGAGACGCGTGCAAGGATATCCAAAAAAGGGTAGTTCAATGTCGACAAAGTGTGTATGAATCTTCCCACGAAACAATCGGTCTCACTCTTGTGAGTTGAGACGAGGACAACCCATGAAATAGAGTGTCGCAATGTTTTTACCTATTGAACTGCGTAATTTTATACTAGCTCCATTAGAAGTGGGTCCCCAGCTGCCATGAGTCTTATCAGCTCTAGGAATTCCACCTCATTGGACACAGTCCAAGGGTAGATAGCCGGTACTTGTGCAGAATAAGAGTTGGAAGAGTTCGCAGACAATACCTCTGGCTTGTAGACCATTTTAGAGAAAACGAAGTCAAATTGTTGGGGCAAGTCCATTGCCATGAAAAACATTGGAATTGCTACCTTGTGGTGCATTTTGAAATTGCCCACAAGGCCTACAAGATCTACAAAATCCCCGACAAACCGCCGAGGAACATAGAACACCTCTGAATTACAGATCGCAAGAGTGTGCTTGCTTGTGCTACTCGCCTTGTAGGTGACCTGGAAGTGAACCGGCATAGTGCTCACAACTTTCTTAACCATGTCAGCTTGTTTCGAAAACCACATTGAATCCTTGACATTGGTTGGGACAGTAATCCAAGACTGAGGCACCTAAAACAGGTAAGAAGATCAGGCTTTGATTGTTCAGAAGCTGAAATCAGGTGCTTGAGATTTACATTACCTTATTAGTGATCCATAGCTTGGATTTGTCTGCTTGGTGTAAGTTCCAGTAGTTTAGAACCGTATTGTCCTGGAGAAACAAGAACCCTTCTGCAGTAGTAAACCTGTCGAATATCTTGGGCAAATACCTGTATTCCACTCATGACATGTTAGAAGCAAAGAGAGAAACAGATTAAACAAGAGTTATCAGGTTAAGTCTTGGTCAAGAAAAGCAAGAATCGTATCCCATCAATTAGCAACGAACACAAGGCCAAAGCAGGTTCATATGCATGGTTTTAATGTCAAGTATGCCTTTTCAGGGGTAATTTAACAAGTTCTGCAAATAGTTACTTTCAGAACAAGATGGAAAAGAAAGATAAAAAGAATAAGGAAAAAGTTTATTGAGGGGCAATCATCCAAAGATGTTGCAGCAAGAAACACTAGTACAACATGCAATAGGAACTTCAAAAACCAAAATTGTTATAACTTGTGAAAAAAGACCTACTTTTGAATGGAAAAGCATAAGAACGTAACTTTTATCGGTATAGACTATTGCTATTTCACATGGATGTAAAAGGAAAACTTATCAAAACTTATCAAATGCTATATGACTGGAATTTAACTCTATTGCTTTTAAAAGGTGCTTCAGTAGAAAACCATGAAATGAACAGAAATACTAAACTACACTAGAAGGAAAAACACGAATGTTCGTCAAAGTAGGTGAGAAAAACTTACTTGTATACTTCATCCAGTGAAGCTTGCTCCACAGCTAGATCTTCATTAGCTTTTTCAGACAGAATCACCACGGTTTTAAATATCCTTCCGTAAAGCAATCTCCACTCTAAGGAAGTTCCTTCTACAGACCCACTCACAAACATTATCAGCACAATGTTACCAAAATTCTTCTTCCACCGGACCAAGTTCCCAATCTCATAATTCACCATCTCCGATTCCTCGACACCAAGATGCACAGAAGGCAGTTTTTGAGGAACAAACTCCTTCAAATCCGCATGGCTGATAGTTGTTCCGGCCTCACCCACCGCTACCGCCTTCAACCTTGGTTGACTGTACCCAACAGCAAGCAAGTCCTCCAGCCAAGCTACAGTGAACTTCACATCTTGCTCGGTCCAAAACCCTTCTTTTGCCATTGAAAAGCTCAAATCCACAATTTTTTCAAACAACTTGCCCTTATCCGATCTCCAAGAAACCAAAAACTTAATTAACCGACCAACATTGACATGAAGATCCTTCTCCTCCACAAACGGGTAGGCTTCAATCTTATCCTCTCTATACAATGTAGGTGGATAAACCACAACATTTCCACCAACTTCCCACAAAATCCTCTGTGCCCAATAACCCCTCAACACATCAGAAGCCATCGAACTAACCGAAACCGGAAGCATTAAGCCCCAAAACGCATTGTAATGAAACAAAGTATTGAAAGAATTCAGTGGCACCATTACACCTTGTGGTAAAGCAACTTTTGGGGCATGCCCATCAAACCTTATATCGAATGATTCCGAACCCAACTTTCTAGTGAAATAAAAAAAAGAATCCACATCAGGCAATCCATTAGACAAACCCTGCTGAACATATTGCATCCCACCAAACACTAAATTGTAAAACTCCTCATGCCAAACCTCACCAACATTCTCTAAAGGCAATCCCCTCGGCCAAACCGAGCGTTGCCCGAAATGAACGTAAGGATTCACAACACTCCTATTAGCATTCTTCCTATTGTACTGCAAAATCCTCTCTTGCATTACATCCACATTAGACAATTTCAAATCGAAATGCTTACTGAGATCTCCGCCGATGATTTCCCCGCGATCGTCGCCGTCGAAGATCATTTTCGCGCCGTGCTGAATCGCGAAAAGGTAACCGGCGCTCTTCCTAACATAGGAATCATAAGGAAGGTGATCCAAAACTCGAAAACCCAGATTGGCTTGGTCCTCCAAGGACAAAAAGATCGCACCTTTAAGGCTCCAATCCGAAGGGGTCTTCGAATTCCCGACGGCTAAAACTTGCCACCCTTTTGTCCTGACAAGCTTTCGAAGCGGATCGGAGGGGTAATCGGAGACGGAGACGACAATCCAGCGGTCGGAGGTGAAGGAGGAGTAAGGCGAGGACTTATCTGAAATGGGTTTGATTGAATTGAAATTGGGTTTTGGGAAATGGAGAGGGAAATGGTGGTTTTTGTTGGAGTGGGATTTGAAGCAGAAGAAAGTGGGGGAGGAGTCGTCGGAGGTGGCGGAGTGGAGGAAGAAGAAGAGGGCGGCGATGGTGAAGGTGAGGATGGAAATGGCGGCGAGTTTGATGAGGTTGATGGAGGAGAGCCATTTGGAGAATCCGAGGTTTTGTTGGTGGTGGTGGTGGTTGTCGGAGAAGTGGTCGGAAAGTTTGTGTTTTTTTGAGGTTGTGTTTGTGGAGCGGTCTTGTTGGACCAACATTATATTGTTTGATTTGGATATGGAAAAACAAAACAAAAAAAACAACAAACAACAAACAAAAAACAAAACAAAACTTGTTTTTGGTTAATTTCTGAGGTGGGTTTTGAGTTTTGTTTGAGTTTGAAGTTTCAGTTTGTGTTGATGCAGAAGAAACTTTTGGGAGCTCAATCAAACTGAGCTGTTTTTTTTTTTTGTGCTCTTCATCAGTGTTCTGTTCTGAGATTATCTAAACTCAGCAGTTGCACCACGTGATTTTTTTATTTTTTTTCATTTTAGGAGCTGCCGACAGAAGTACGAAGGAGAATCATATTGAACCCTCTATTTTACTTAATTACAAAGACACCCATTTGATCAAATGTTTACATTTGGGGTAGGTCTACCAAACGTAAATAAATACAATGTGAAAGATAATAGGATTGAAAATATAATAATAATAAGATTAAAGGCTATTGATTCTTTTTTAAGTGTTTACTTGATAATTAAATTATCTCTAATATAAATGTTAATGTTAATGTTATATTTACTATAAAAAAATATAATATAGTATGTTATTTTGATTTTGATTTTAATTCATAATTCTATTTAAAATACTAAATTTAGGGCCGTTTAGTTCGTTGATTCGAGTTTTTAATTCGAGTTGAGATGTGATTTTATGTGATAGCTTTTTACTGTAGCAAAAAAGTTAGATGTGACTGTTTGTGAGAACTTTTTACTGTAGCAAAACTCGAATTCTAAACTCGAATCAGCAAAATGAATAGGGCTTTCTCCCCTAATTATTAAGTTTTGAAAATAGTAAAAGTAAACTTTTATATTTAAAATAATTTAAAAATGTAAAAATTGCAATGATTATATGAAAAAATAAACATTTCAACCAATCACAATCAAATGTTAAATTTCTCATATGCTATACTTGATGAGAAAATTGTCACAAAGTATTGCATATAAAAAATTTAGCACAACAAATAGTACTGTATTAGTGTGTTTTTTGCACTCAAATTTAGCAATTGGCACATTAATTAAACATTGAATTGAATATGCTTTTAGATGGTGTAATTGGAAACAATCATATTCTCTTTCTTATGTTTACTAAAATTAAGAATAATAATGTTATAAATGTAATCATTAAAATGTCTTTTTACACAATTAAATAGTTATTGACTATATATAGAGTAATTCATTAAAGGTAAAAAGTAAATTTAGGAGACGTTTTGTTCATGGATTAGAACCATGTGATTATAATTATTTTCAATTTACATGTATTTTTTGTGAGAGAAAATACTATAGCGAACCACGAACCATGATTCAAATCAGGGAACGAATCTAGGTACCAAACATCCTCTTAGCATTCATTCTATTTGACAAGGTATCAATACTAAGGGGTGCAAAAATTGACATTTTCTTTTCTCATTCTTTATATTATATGCTAAATCTCCATTACTGATTTTTTAAGTAAATACATTATTAAATGGAAAAGAAAATCACTTCTCAGAGAAATCATCATTCTTTATATTATATGAGAACCACTAAATCTATATTATTGATTTTATAAGTAAATACATTACTAAATGAAAAAGAAAATCACTCATCACTTTTTCTTTTCTTTTGAGGCAAAGTAAACACGCAATTGGTTTTAATCCATGATAATGTTTTATAATTGTGAACATGCAGTTATAACATTATTAAGAAAAAAAATCACTGAGCATTATTTTTAGTGACGAAACAAGAATAAAAATATCATTTTAAGCAAGGATATTTTCATAATATAAGAAGTATTTAATTCTCAAATTGCATCTTTCTATGTTTCACTAACAAAAACGATGTTTCGGTAGCTTTTTTTTTAACTCTAAGAGTGTTAACGTAAAATACTTTATTTTAAAAAAGTTCTTGGTAAATATTGACAGAATTCTCCTAAATGTTAATTAAAAAAGAGAAGTTGTAATAAATAGGGCAACCTTGAGATTAGAAATGAATAGGTCACTTTAAAAAAAAAAACAAATTGCATTTAAACAAAAATTGAGAAATATACAACTCAATACAATATAATGACTTATCAGAGAGACACATGTCTAAAATCAAAAAATAAAGAAAAACCTTAACACACAGCACACTTATAAAAAATAATGTAAAATATTTTAATTAAAAAAGTGTCATGTTAAATATTAACAGAATTAAAAAAAATATTAATTAAAAAAATATGTCATTTTAATAGTCAACCTCTTTTAAACGACAACATCATAAAGACTATATTATATTATATTATATATATAATACTATTATTAAGATTTTTATCTTTACTCTTAATTTATAACTTTTTTAATTAAATAATTATACTAATAAAATGTATTTACTCATACTCATACATTCTTAGGTAAATTCTCTAATTTTTTTTTATATATTATTATATATGTGTGTGTGTGTCTATATATATATATATATATATATATATATCAAATTCGCAGCTACTTTGCCGATTACTGGGTGCAACAATCGATTTGGTTCGTTTCTTGCCCTTAAATTGTTTTGTCCTGTGGTAATTGTTTTGAAGTTTGAAGGCGTATTTCTCTTGATAGATAATTATTTTTAGCCACAGACCGTGGCGTTTCAATATTTTTTTTCTATTTCATTTCGGGGGGTTTTTTTTTTTTTACATTAAAAATTTGGTACGACGATTGATGAGACCTAAATTCTATTACTGCTTTTATAGTTGGTAAATCTCTTGTTCCCTCTGAATTGCACAATTTGTTTGCCTTTTGACTCCAATATTGCTCTGCCTTCGATGAGTTGGAAATATTTTTATTTATTTATTTATTTTTATATACGATTAGTGGTCATATTTGTAGCTTATTTCTTTTTTTTAAATATATTTTTTAATATTGTCCGCATGTGTGGATTTAAATCAAATTGCTGTTGATTAGTGGGAAGAGATTAATACAGACAATTTTGGCTGGTAATTTTGTTGGCATCTAAATTCCATTCTATTCTTATGTCATGGTATGATTTTGCTATCGATCATGTTTAGGGACAATTATCCAAAAAAAAAAAAAAAAAAACACACACATTTTTTCTGGTTAAAAATGAAATTTTGCAATATCAATAATTTACATAGAGGATATTCATTTGAATATAACATGCATATACTATTGCATATTTTGCTTGCGTATTTATATACTATTGTTACTATGTACTAGGTTGATATTTGACTTCATATTACAAAAATTGTCTATTGAAGATTGTCGAAGAAAATCGAATATATTCAGGAACCCTCACAATAAAACGTGCACCCTTTTAAAGCACATGAAGAGAAGAACCAAGCTGTGGCTGTGGAAATGATCTTGATGACGAGCTTTCGTTGATAGATCCTCTTCGACTGAGTTTGTTGATAGAATAGCTTTCGTTGACAACAATGGCACAAAAGACAATCGAAAGAACAACAAAGATGTCGTTGACGAGAGTTAAGGATCAATGTCGTTTTCTAACCTTTTTGAAGTATGGTGCTTAGCTCCCTTGAAATTTATATACTTAGTACAGTTTTTTATTTTTTTTGTTTCCAAGTATGTCCTTGGTTCCTAACTTGTTTGCATTTGAATATTGCTTAAATGGCCTTCGTTCATTACTTGTATGGTCCGTTATTACGATTTATAAATTTTGTTCTTGTATTGTGCCCTTTCTGAATTTAAATTATGGATCTATCACTGGGTAGATTCATTAGTTAACCAAAAGAAAAAAAAGGATCTATCACTGGGTAGATTCATTAATTTGAACATGGAATAAAATTTAAATTTGTGTTTGGTATGTGTGAAGAACAGAGAGAGCGGTCACCTTTTTAATGATCAAAATTGGTTTGAACGGTTGAACTTGAGAGGTGAGCTAAACTATAAGGGCATGTTTACTTATCAGGAGTAGAGAATGGGAATTGGGATTCAGAATCAACTATATGTTTACTTACCCATTTATATCCTGAAATGAGAGTGAGAATGTGTGGGCCCCACACCAATTTGGGATTGAGAAATGATATTGACACTCCCCCCACCCCACACCGGATTGCCACTCCCAATCCTGATATTAAATACAAAATTATGAATTTACCCTCTTTTCTCCTTTATTTAACTCTCTAGGGTTTATTTCCCTCTTTCTCTCTCAGCCATTTACCATCCCCTCTTCCCCTCTTCTGCCGTGGTTCTTCAATTTGCAGGTAAGCCATAAATCATCCTCTATTTTTGTTTTCGTTTTGTTTTATTTATTTTTTTTTGTGTGTTGAACACGTTGATAATGCTTTAGTTTAGTTAGTTTTGTTGTTCCTTTCCACGTTAATAATGCTTCTAGCTTTTCAGTTTTTTTCCCTTATTTTAATTTAATTTTGTATCCCTCTTTATTTCTTTAAACTCTTATATTTGTTTTATTTTAGGAATTTCTACTATAAGATTAGAAAACTGAAACTATCAATAATTTTTATCCCTCTTTATTTCTCGTGATTCTAGTACTCTAGTTTTTTTTCTTTTTTCTTATAATTTGATTCTTGTGTTATGCCTATTGTTGTTCATTTTTATAATATACAATGTGATACTAAATCTAATTTTATATGTTAATAATGTAGACTAATCATGTCTAGACTTTTAGTACGAAAGAAGAGAGTGGTTGTAGTGATAAAAGAGATAGTGATGATGTTACAAATGATTATGGTTGTGTGTGCTGCTATGTGTACCTATATTTTTATTTATTATGAATGAAGGATACGAAGTCTAAAGATGGTTATAAGGGTTTATCAACAATTAGGTCACTTGTATGATTTGGTTTACGAGAGTGATATCTAGTGTGTGGCACAATTAAGAATTGATAGAGAAATGTTTAGAAGATTATGCAAGCTTCTATGTGAGAAAGGAGGTTTGACAAGCACAAGAAATGTATATGTTGAGGAGATGCTTGCAATGTTTTTGCACATCCACTGCTAAAAAGAATTTAGTTAGATTACAAGCCAACTTGTATCAAGAAATGTTGAAAATTGATGGCTTAGATGATGATCAAGTTCATAATGCCACCAATATTTTAGCAACAAAGCATGATTTGCTACGTGTATTCTACAACATTCTGGATCAACTCAAGAAGGGATACACCCTCAAAATTCTTAGTCGTGGGGTTTAAGTGTTAGATTAACCAATTATTAGTTTACTTAAATTATGTTGGTACTTTGAATTATGCTTAGGATATATTTTTTGATTTATGA